AGAAAAGCGTGTATAGGTGGTCGTTTTGTTGCGTTGCTAGCGTTGAAGGCGAGTTCTCGGAGTTTTAGGGATCGAAGAATTATACCTGCGCGGGGTTGGCACGTGGATCGAGCAAGGGAAGAGAAGCATTTTCTTTCTTTCCCTTCTTTTAATTAATAATAATAATTATTATAATCAATTATGATTAAAAATAATTAATTAGAATTAAAAATAATTAGGTACAATTAGAAGAAAGTTACCTTCACAGTGTGGGCTCCTTCTCTACTCCCAATCAAAATGTTATAACTTTCGGACAAAAGGAAGGGAATGCCGCAGAAGAAGCGTCGGCTAGGGCAGAAGGAAGGCTCGGGTAAGGGTGATCTCTCTCTCTCTCTCGCTCTCTCTCTCGACGGGTGAGAAGGTCGATCGAGTAGAGGCAATGAAAGTCGAAGCAGGTTTGTGGATTAGAGGCGATGGAGTAGGGGGGTTGAGGTGTTGATCTTGTTTGGTTTGGTCAAAGGGATGAGAAGGGTGGTCGGAAGAGGAGGCTAGGTGCTCGGGTATTGGTCGCCGACTGGGAATAGGCGACGGTTTTCAGGAGGTTGGGGCTTCCGATCGGAGCAGGCAACGGGAGCTAGGGCAGGTCGTGGGAAAGGAATTGGGAGCTTCGTGTGTGTGGAAGGGATGCCATAAGCCTCCATTCATTCGCTATTTAACGACACATGCGGACGCTTGATTGATGTGAGATGCAGGTTTTGCGGGAGGTGACCGATTCGGCGGTGCTGCACGGTAACTCGGCGGAACTTCGGCAGGATTTGCGGAATCCAGGCAGAGCTACGGTATGATTTTCATTTTCATTTCTTTTGGGTATTATACAGAGGTCAACAACTACACATGGGAAGTGGTCATTATGCATTTTAGGCTGAATGCAGTAAGTTAGGAGCCTCACATAAGCTTATATAACTTCTTTGCAGAGCCCTACATAGGGTCCTGGTCGAGTACCCATTGGGTACCCATGCTCTGTGCGAGCTGGCTTCGCCCACCCACCCCCACTCATAATATTTTTCAGAATGATGTACCCACCCATACCCATGCATTGCTCGTCCTTAGACATAAAAGAAATCCTGCAGAGAATTGAAAGGTAGAAGACAATAACAAGATAAAAGTATTTTCATATTCCCCAAATGCAAAATACATGGTTTTATATAATGATGCAAGGGACAAGCTGTTAGAGTGCAGTACAATATGTTATATGAAGCTTGTGGTGCATTGGACTAATGTGTTAACATGCCGCACAAGTCATCATTCGATCGGTAGAACAATAGATCGTTCACGTGAGCGGGCTTTAGACTGCTGCGCTTCTTAGTCAGTGTGTTGCCGGCGTCTGAAAAGTTGTTCTCAGACATGGCGCTGGCGACCAGAATGCATAAAATAGAGCGCATGACGAGTGCCATGATCGGGAATGTCTTGACGCCCACGAGCCCCCACCACTTCAGGACATCGAACCCCCATCCTCGTCGCCGCACATCTTCTGTTCTTGCGGGCTGACCCTATGCGCCATGTAGGCCGTGAACTCTAGGCCGGCTCTAACTTGCAAGCTGTTGGGGGCAATGGTGGCGGCCATCTCAGGCTCGTCATCATCTTCAGGCAAGTCGTCGTAAACTGAGTAGGAGGCTGTGGTGTCTATCCATGCCTTCTTGATCATGTATGCCTTCAACTTCTCATTGTCATCGTCATCTTCATCGATGACAGAGTTGAGGCCATGGCCGTACTTGATCATGTATGCCTTTAACTTCTCCTTGGCCTCGTCAATTTGATCAGCATTGATACCTAACCCCCCCAAACACGTCTTCATGATCGGGTCGAGCATCGTCGCAACGACATGGATGGGCTGGAGCACGAACTTGTCCTCAAAGATGGGTTGGATGATCTCCTTGAGGGAGATTATCGGATCATAATCTTTCTTTGTCTTTACTCTGCGTGGATCATTCAGGTCCCTGATGTCGACACGAACCAGCTTCATATGTTGTTGTAGACGATGGCGCCAAAATGCGACCTTGTGCAATGTTGGGCGCTTGAACACCTCTAATGCCAGTGTCGCATGTTGGAACATCTCAAGGAATGCAGTGAACTCGTTCAAAAGATCTTGTTGGATGGCGCCCAGCTTGTGGATCGCATTCTTTTCTTGTAGAACGGTTACGATTTCATCTAACATATCAAGGATGCTACGCAGGCAACGTACCAGTGAGTTCCAACATGTGACATTCTCTTGTTTGAGTGTTTTGGTCAGCTTGCTCTGCAGGTTTGAGCGCTTGAAGTACTCGACGAGTTTCTTGCATGAGTCGATCATCTCGAACAGGTCAGCCATGTATGGACCGTGCTGGTATCGGTAGAACCGTTTGCTTTGAACGCCGTGCATCATCGTGGTTGTCTTGTTGACGACAGTTGTTAGCACGCTCGCAAGCTTATGGTCTAGACAAGGCAACCAGGAGAACTCGGATGGTATGCCATTTTGCCTGCAAATGTTTGAGCCACTATCAGAGACGACAGTGATTTGATCAAAGTAATTGTCAAGCAGTTCAAACATGCTCAAACCTTCCTTGAACTCGTTCAACACCATGATCATCGTGTGGCTGGCCTCACGCAACGGCTTCACGTGCATCGTGCGCGCATTCAGGGTGAAGAGCTTGTCAATGTAATGGATCGTAATGGACATGTATGAGACCTTCTTGATCCTGTCCGTCCACAGGTTGATTGTACACGCCGCACCAACACCTGATTCGAAGTGCTCCTTGAGAATAATGGCGAGCCTCTCGCGACCTGACTGGGCACGACTTGTGACATGGCGACGGACCGATCCTCAACGAGAATGCGGCCGGAACTAGCAATGCCGATATCTAGCACTGTTTGGATCAGTTCGTTGAGGCCCAACCCGGACAAGGCTTCGAATGGGCGCATGTCCTTCGCGCAGAAGCTGGCCGCAGCCACCGTCATCTTTGCTTTCTCCTTCATCGTGGGCATGTGCTTCTTAAAGAACTGTTTGGCGGCACCGACATCAGATTGTTGCACGTCACATTTGTGCAAACCCATCGTCTTGGTTCTGGTGGTTTTCTTCTGCATAAATGTCTTCTTGCACGCCTTGCATGCAGCTAGCTCGAGTAAGATGGAAGTGGTACCGTTGCGGTGGCAGACGATGCCAAATCTGGTCCAAACGTCCGACGTCCCTGTGACATTATCGGTGATATAAAATTCGGCATCGTCTTTGTTGCTCTTGAGCTCGCGCTCGATCGCCTCTTGAGTCGGCAATGCCATCTTCTGTTCACTCCGGCTTGAGACGTTAATACTCCGGTGGCAGGCAATGCCATCTTTTGTTCCTCATTTGTGTGAACTGTGAAGTTAATAATAAAATATTAAGATATGAAATCTTTTAAGATACAAAAGTACCTATCTCACACTAATCAAGAATATATCATCATAACTTCATGTGCAACCGTGCAAGTCTATTTTTTTTTTTGGAATAGTGTGAATGCATTTTTCACTTTTAAAACAATGTTTATGTATTTTTCAATTTTCACTCTTTTTTTAATATAGTAGGTTTATCCACCATATTGAGTACCCATCCATACCCATCCATAAATCTATGAGCATACCCATACCCACCCATACCCATGGGTGGGTACATGGGTGGGTATGGGTATGGGCGCCCAATGCAGGGCTCTGCTAGTTCTTTGCTTTTCAAATTCTTTTAAAGACAGCAGATTCACCTTCAGATAAAAAAAATCTAAAGTGGCGACTTCGTCTCTTATAGAGTTTTTGATGAATGTCATCATTGAGTATTGTAAGCGTTGGACAAATAAGATTCTCTCTTTCAGCCCATCCATGCAATTGTGGCAAATTTTTTGGTCCAATTCATGTTAGTTGGATTCAGTAAATCAATTGGAAAGGACTGCTATTCTCGTGTCCTCAGGACATATCTCATCTGAAATGTTCATTAACAATGTTAGCTCGATGGCATATTTTAGTTGTTTAGTGGAGAAAACATCATATTTTTCATTACTATTTCCCTGTCTGTGGTCCCAAGGTTTCCTTTTCTGCGGTTCCAAGGTTTCCTTGTAGGATTCTGGAGAGAATTTCCGTTGATTAATTTGAATTGTCAACCCACTGAAAATTTCAGTAAGAAAGGCGAGAATCACATGGTAACTTTCTTTATGTTTTGAAGACTCGGTATTTTTCTTATGAAAGAGTTTTTGAGCTGGATTTAATTCATCGTGACACAGTTTTATCTTTTCAAGTGGGTTCGAGCATCTGTATGAACTAGTTGAGATGCTCTTGGGGACACTCTTGAAGAACTGTTTTGGCCCTTTTTTTCTGTCGGTTTTCTCTAAGGTCCACGTTCTCACTTCTAAGAGACAAATTCAGCTGATAGATTTCATGTTGGTATAGTCTAACCAACTTCATGGAGCTTTTTGATCATCACTATTGACATTTCTTCAGAGTAAAATATTGACCAAATTGATTTTGATTTCTACCTTCTTGAAGCTAATCCACATGCTTTCTACCTTCAGGTCCTTCAGAATTGAGTTTGATTTCTATTTGATAGAAATGTTATTATTGTTGGCAGCTCATTAGTCTTCTTTCCTTCTGTAACTGAAATCGTGTGCCTGACAAAAAATACATTCTAGGAAGTTTCATATTGGAAGAATGACTAATGCCATGCCAAAAACAAGTAGAAGACCCTCATCTTGCCTCATCCACATATCAAATTAAGGTTTCATTTGGGACGGCTTTTTTATTGTTTTTTAAAACAAAGTATAAAAATTAAAATCGAAAGGAAAATAGCCGTATTTTTTTTTCCGGGAGGAAAAAATCCATCTATATCGACGACACACCCATTCAAACACGCCCGCTTGCAGATGCGCTGCTCTCTCTCTCTCTCTCTCTCTACCCCCCACAAAATTTGTGGCCGAATGATTCTATTTTTAGAGATCTGGAACAAATTTACCCGTTGTATTATGAAACAGGGGTGCAAATTGTTGAAATTTGCTTGGCAACTAGATCACATAATGGAGGTTTGATCAATTTGCAAGAGCTTTGCAGTCTACTCTCTCAAAGAAGAAGAACTGCTCGAGAGGCAATATCTGAAGATGATTGCCTGCGTGCTATTAGTAAACTGAAGGTACACAAATATTTTAAATATTCAAATAATTTAGTGATTATATCTAGTTTTATGTTGATCTATGAAATTTGATTTTAATGTTGTTACCTTCTATCAGAATTTTAAATCGCTAAAATAAATTTTGTTTTTTCTCGGAACCAATAAGATTATCATCAGTCATGTAGCTATATCACTCATGTTCTATCGTTTCATTCTTTGCTAATCAATCATTTCTTGCGATATTGTATATAACAGGTTCTTGGTAGTGGTTTTGCGGTTATCTCCATCGGGAGAAAGAAACTTGTTCGATCAGTTCCCACCGAGTTAAACAGAGATCATAATGAGATTCTTGAACTTGCTCAGGTTTGTATGTCATTATCGGAGGAATGAAAAAATGATACGGGAAATGTTGCTCGATGTCATCAATTTAGATTAGAAAAAAGAATTATTTGTTTACTTGTTTTTGTAGCAATCGTGAAAGGCCTTTTCTCTCGCGCCTGAATTTCAAAAGATTCGCCAATCTTTTGAAATATTTATAGATTCCAATTTCCAAGAGTTAATTGCGTGCAGTTAGTATTGTTTGGTTAACATTAGTCTTTCCATGGAGGATGCTGTCCATGCAGTAACTCTGCAAATCTTAAACTACTATTATACTATTTGTTAAAATATCTATTATTTGTGCACCATATTAGACTAGATAAGATAGATGTTATAAATTCTTGTACTTTTTAAAGTTGTGTTAGGCTGGTTCAGCTTGAACAGGCCCAGCCAGCCGGCCGTCGTTTATAGGAGGCGGACTAATGCTGCCTCCTTACCTGCTATTGCCGCCCAATCAAATGGGCCCCACTAGAAGCCAATTAGAGAAAGAGGGGGCGCAGCTAGGCATGGGGGGAAATTTGAATTAAGAATTGATTTAGAGAATTAATGTATTAAATAATATGAGTTGTTTAGGGTTAGGGTTATGCTTTATTTTGTGGCTGATTTTGGAGTTCTTGTTCTTGGTGCCTTGGGCCCTAGATTCGTCTAGGGATTGGGGGAGAACGATCATCCTCTCGTATTGAGGATCAATTGTATCTTGTTTTATTTCTTTGTTGGTTTGCTTTCTACAATAAAAACTATTGTTTTTTGCTTGTTTTACTATTATTTTTTGCTTGTTTTCCATTAGATTTGTGGAGTTTTCATGCAATTTTTGTCAAAATTGTTAGGATTTATTTGAAATATTTAAATATTTCCTATCATTATGTTATATTTTTTTCAACATGTGTAGTTTTGAACTCGTATCCTAGACTTGTACTTTCACTTGCTTGACATTTCTTAAATGTCCAAAATGGTCCTTAGATTTGTTATTTCTCCATTTTCGTACCCAATTTTTCTAGTTGTTCAATTTAGTCTCTCAACTCAAATTTTAATCAAATTGGTTCTACCGTTTTTCTATGAATAGAAATTAGTGGAGGGAGGGAATCATTTCCTAAGGACCATTTTTGTATTGCACAATGTCTGAAGCATCTGATTCGGTAGATCATTCAATTGGTTGGCATCCTTTTTCCTTTGAGCCTTGGTATTACTTTGTGTACATCTTATACTTGCAAAATGGTCTCCAATCCGTTACAACCTATCAATCAAGGCATTATCTTTGATAGATATCCTTTATTTCATTATCTCTCTTCCCTCAAAATCAATCTTTGTCCAGGGAGACGAAGGCTTTGTTTGGGACAGCTTTCAAACTGCTTTTTAAAACGGCTTTTTAGAAAAAAATTTCAAATTCAAGAAATTTTTGTACTAAAAAACTTTTTTAAAAGCAAAAAAGAAGTCTTTCCAAACGAAGCCGAAGAGCCACTTCCCGCACCACATGCCTTTTTCTTAAGATACTGCACTATTTGAAAAATAAAAAAAAGGGAAAAACTGCGTCATCTTTCAGACAAACATAATTTGCATCACTAGTTTTTGTTCAGATTTTATTAGGCTCAGACCGCATGAGTTATATAAGTCACCAGATTTTGCCAACTTGTGCAGGGTCAAGGCTATGTGACGGTGGAAGAGGTTGAGAGAAGGCTTTCTTGGTCATCTGGTCGTGCCATGGATGCCTTGGAGACACTTTTAAAGGTGACAAAATATTCTTCTTATTGAAACCAATCGTCGCAGCTGAATTTATATACTTTTGGTAATTCAGGAAGGCCTGGCCATGATTGATGATGGACACAGAGATGGCAAGCGGCGATATTGGTTCCCCTGTGTTGCTTCCATTTTTGTCACGGCTGGAGCCTGATGGAGTGAAGAGTTGAGAGGCTTTAAGAGCTCATTCATCAAAAAAGTATGTTGAGCATAGCTTCTTTGATTGTTATGTACTTATTATCATTAATTTATGTCAAGCAAGTATATATATATATATATATAACTCCATCGGGCTTAGCTGGGTTGGTGGACGAGTATGGTTGGGAACACTCCAACTCATGTTCGAATTCTCTCTCATGCGGCGCGACCCCTTAAATGGAGAGTTCTTTAAGGGTTATTTGTGATAGCCATAGTTTGTAAAATTTATTATGAATTTGTTATGGTGAAAAAAGAAAATTTGAAGTTATTGATGGTATTATATTTTATCTTCAAGAAAAGCTATCAAATAGTATTAAATTTAGGAGCTATTATTCTGTACGGACATCATATGGGAGAACCGTTCGGTTAAGTACTGGGTACCCAGCAGTACCGAGCTGGGTACCCAACAATGGGGTGACGTAGCGCATTTTTATTGGTCTCCGGACGCCTTGTGGACCTCGCACCGATTAATAAATCTAAATTTAGCTTCGTTTGGGACGGCTTTTTATTGCTTTGTAAAACTTTTTTTTGGTTAAAAAAACTTTTTTTTTAAATTATTATTTTTTATTAGAAAATTGTTTTAAAAAGCAATAAGAATGCTGTCTCAAATGAAGTTTAATTTTTAAAGTTTCTTACTTTTTTTTAAATAGTAAGAAAGTTTTAACAAATTAAAAATATATGATTTGTAAAATAAACTTATGATGTTGTCCTAAATGCGTTTCACAAGTTTTAAAGATCAATGAAATATGGTATGGTAAAGGTTTTTAAAGATTAAGGTGCCTTATGCTAAAGATTACTGTTTTGTTAGACAATCTTATGACAAGTTTCACAAATGAGGTAAAATGATGAGGCCTATAAGGTCAAAAATGCAAAAAATGTTTTGATGGATTCAAGTTCATATAGTTACAAATGATATAAAAAACAATCAATAGCCATAAGTTGAGAATCTCATATTGGGCAAATTGGACTCTCTTGTAATCATTTAGGATAAAGTGTTAAAGATGTTCAAATAGAAGCTTCTAGAGTTGTATTTTTCTCTTGAATGATTTTTATATGTGCAATAAATTTTATGAGAACACCACCTCCTCAATTATAGGGAATTAGTTTTTTAGGTGTAACCATTGGTATTTCATTTAAAACTTCAAACTTTTATTTGTTTGCATTAAGGCTTCATTTTAGATTTTTTTTTTTTTTTAAAGAAGCTAGTAAAAAAATTAATTTTTTTTAAAAAATTTCAGAATTTAAAATTATTTTCAATCAATGTGAAAAATATTATTAAAAAATATAATATGATAAGATTTATTGGACAAGAAAAATAAAATAATATCATGTTGGATATATTTCAATTCATAACATTATCATGGTTCATCTAAAGTTGATAAATTGATGTGATGGTCAATGTGCAATGTGTAGCCTGCCCAAACGATCATGCTATTTGGGCTTATCAATTAAGAGAAAAATATATATACTCAGTTGCTATTAATGTTCAACGAATCTAATTATATATTTTTATAAATAAAAATAATAATCTTCTTAAACTCCTACTACCCTCACAATAAAATCAAATTAGTATAAGGGTGATATAGTAAATCACCTCCAATGATATACCGTTCGTCAGGGATGTAACTGATTCAAGCAGGCTTGTGAGTCGGTTTAAGTTCTACTTGATAAATGATTTGTGAGCTGAGTTTGATGAGACTCAATGACTCGATAGCCGGCTCATTGAATAAATATTAATAAAAATATACATTTTAAAATATGTTATAATTTGAAGTTTTTAGTTTAAAATTATTAAAATATTTAAAATTTATATATTGCTTTCATATATCAAGAAATTTATTATTTTCTAATAATAAATACTTTAATTATAATCATTGGTACTTAGACCTAAATGATCTCGCTAAATAACTAATTTGATGTCAATTTAAAAAGTTAAGAGATCGAATTAATACTTGTGTATGTTGCGGATTATTTTGATCATTCAGAGAAAGTTTGGGGACCAATTCCGTCATTTATGAATTGGGATAATAGAGTGTTATATTATTAAACATAAAAATAGAATTGTTAGATGAATAAATACATAAAAATTAGATGTCAAATATGTAAATAGATAATTTTTTTGTTCTATTTGTCTAAATACTCCTATACAGACGAGCTTGCTAAGATTATAAATAATGGAGGATTGAATGAGTAATAAATATCAGTACTAAAAAAATAAAAAGATGACTGATAAGTTAGGAAAAGATAAAATAAAATTTATAGATAACACCTTTGAACTTAAAAAATTAGAAATTATATATATTAATTAAGAATATGAAAGGCATTATTAAATGGTCTTTTGCTTTCTTATAACATATTTTTTCTTTAATTTTTGTCCATTTAGCATTAAATTTTATGTAAGGTCTTAATACAAATTTTTTTTAATATTATTTTTGTTGTCCTTATGGCCTTACAATTGTTTTTATTATCATATTTCTTATTACTTTTCTTCTATTTCAATTCATTCCAATGCTTTGGTCTCAATGAGTTTGAAAAACTAATAGATTCTTTTTTATTATTTAAGAATATCCTCATATATTTCGTATCATTATGGATTTGCAAGCCCTTGAATTTATGCCGAGATTAGTGCAATTCTTATCAGCTCAAATTCAAGAGTTTTGAAATACATCTTGATATTTGTCTGCACGTTTTTCTTCAGAATTAGATTCTAATTTGTGTCTGTTGTGTCTGCAAATATCGTTATTTTCAAGAGTTTATTTATGCCCTTTTTATATTATTATTTTACTAATCATAATACACCAAAGTAATTAGAACAAAATTAAGGTAATTATAATTTTTGTATGTATATTTTCCCTATTCACTTGTTCCACCCTAGGCTTACAAATTTAAAATTATTAAAAAAAAAAAAACAACAACAACAATAAATTTGCATTGGATGGCAAGTAGCCTTATCTTCAAGCCAACTTGTGAATAAGATAACCACCAACAAAATATGTTATGCATTGAGTAATTATAAACATTAATAGCTTCCATCATTGACATTAGCATATAGATAATGACTAATTAATTAATTATTAGTGGTCGATAATTTATCATTAATTAATCTCTAAGAAATATATTTTTATTTAATTTTGGCCTTTTTATTAGCATCTTCAAAGTTTTAACACATGCAAAAAGTAATAAGATATTGTTGTATACATACATATTTCATTCTAATAATATAACTTCATAAAAATGAATATTTCTATTTATGATGGCATGAAAGTAACATAGTTTTCTTATAAATTGTATAAAGTAATAAGTAATTATTGTTGCGTCCTGGAGGCTCGTTGAACATTTGAAGGCCTTAATGATGTCGGAATTCGGCGATCTTAGGCTCGTTGGATTCGTCTCGTCGAGCCGTTCGATTCGAGTATAAGCTCGTCAAAATCGAAGACCGTTTCGTAACTCAAATTGCAGTTTGAACCTTCCAACAGAGCTTCGAGCCCTTGATTCGAACTCATTTGGGCTTGTATTATAAAAAATTTTAAATAATCTTAATCTTTTGTAGTAATAAAATAATGTGAATATGAAGCTCATTACACTCAACAAAAAAAATATTTACATTTAAAGCAAATCAATATTATTTACAAGGGCAGAAATCAGTCTTAATTTTCAGGGGGGAGGTAGGGATCGATATTATAAGCAAAAGTGTAGAGATTTTGCAGATATGTTGAGGGTCCAAAGGGGCAACGCCCCCTGGCGGGGGTTTAATCTGCCTGGCCAGGTCGTGGGGTCAAGAGGCAGCGCCCCCAAAACAAATTTTGGTTGTAAAAATATTTTTGGATTATCTTTACTATTTCTCTTTGTATTTGGTTCATCGTTTTCTAATAAAAACACTTTTACGCAATGTGTTTAATTATGCTAGGGGTAATTGCCTAAAGATAATAGTATTTTAAAACTTTTAGGGGCAGAAAATTGTCTAAAAACTCTTGTATTAAGTACTAAAAAATAAATGACGGAGAACAAATTTCCTAAAAAATTATATTATCCCCCGAATTTTAGGTAGATCCGCCCCATATAATTTTGAACCTTTTTTCTATTTAATTTTATCCCTTTCAATTATACATTAACTTAATTAATTAAGTCAATAATCAATTGAAATAAAAAATAAAAAAATAATAGCATCAAAATATATTTTCTTAATTATCTACTCTACAATTGTTAAATTGCGACACTTGGTCCAATTACAGCCAGAGTTCTGTGGACCCCAAAAAATATCGCAATCTGCCCCCATGTGACTCATCCAAGTGGGCCGACAGTGCATGGGCTTCACATACAAGTGGGCCGACATTACACAATAACATATAGCATTTTATACTTTTTTATTTATTCTTTAATAAAAGTATTCTTATTTAATTCACATTTTAATATTTTATAGTTCCAAGATATTAATAAATTTCATATTTAAGAGGATATTGTAAATTTCATCATAATTATTTTGATTTATTATCTCTATTTGGATTTTGCATTTTGGCTAAGAAAAATAAATATTTGATGCTATGATTTATCACAATAGATTAAATTAATATTTCGTACTTAGAATTCATGCCATGTTTAAGAGCAAATGAACAATAATTTGATGCCATTATAATTATTTTTTTCAAAAAATAATATTTCTCAATATGAAATGACATATTGTGTTTTTTATTTTTTTAATAATATAATTTTTATTTTTTAGACAAATGTGAATGCAATACATAATAAATTTTAGAATAAAAAAACTATTCCAAACAAAACTTGTATGATTTATCATTTGTTATTCATAAAAAACAATAAATAAAATTTATTTATTTAAATAAATTATCTATAATAATTTAAATAATTATAATTTAATTAAAATTTTAAATATTATATTTATTTCAAATAAATTTAAGAATTTTAATATTATTGTTGTGTGCTAGAATATACGCGGCAGTAGAGTTAGAAAATATTCGTCTTAGCATTACACGAGTATTTAGCACACAAAAAGAAAAGAGAAATGAACACCAGAGTTTTTACGTGGAAAACCCAAAAAGGGAAAAAACCACGGGTCTCGCCCAGTTGTAAAGTTCTACTAGTATTTGTATGAAGTACCAAGGTTGATCAGTCTTATAAATCAAGATAATCAGTTTACAATAAACTTCTTACAAAGTTATAAAGTTCTGCAAATTCTCGGCGTTTCCCGAAAATCCGGCAGAGTTCCGGCGTCTTCAGGCGGCGGGAAGAGGTCCGGCGGTGGTCGAGGAGGAGCTTCTTCCTTCTCCTCCTTCTCTTCTTCTTCTCTCTCTTCGCTTGAGTCCCCCTTTATGAAAAATGAGGGCTCTATTTATAGTTTTTCTGGAGTGGCGTGGCTCGTAAATATGTGTGAGATCATGGGCGAACAGGGAGTGGTTTGAATGGACGGCAGATATTGAACCCTTCGATTGTGCACAGTTCGTTGGACATTTGGAGGCCTTAATGATGTCATAATTTGACGATCTTGGGCTCGTTGGATTCGTCTCGTCAAGCCGCTCGATTTGAATATAAGTTCGTTAAAATCGGAGACCGTTTGATAACTCAAATTGCGCTTTGAACCTTCCAACAGCGCTTCGGGTCCTTGATTCGGACTCATTTGGGCTCGGATTGGGTTGATCTTGGTGTCGTTGGGTTCATATTTCCGAGGCGCTCAGTTTGACTATATGGTCGCTAAAATCGGAGTTCAGGTGCTCCCAGAATTAATTTTTGAAGTTTCTAATTAGCTTTTGCCTCGAGATTCGTGCCCGATTAAGCTAATTTTGTGATGCCGTATCAATTATGATGTCCAAATTTTTTTACAATCACCTTCCATTATCAATTTATTATTGAGCCTAAGCGTATTTTTTTTTAAGATAAAATATTTTTCATTGGAAATTAAAAAGATTTTGATCCACCCACATACATTTTTCCGGTTCGTTGGGAGTACACGAAAAGAAACCAAGAACTGTCAGGACAAAGTGCATGATCTTGAACACGTGTCTATTTTTCAATATGCCACGTGTCCAGCATAATTGGGCAGCTTTATCACGGCTAGTGGACAAACTAGAAGAGAAATCTAACCACGTCCCACGAAGCTCACTTTGACAACACCACGTGTCCTACGCCAGAGCTCCTGTTCCCCGGCAGTGGCATTATCGTCATTTCCTCCTCCACACTGTCCCTAAATCAGATCCCTCCTCTCCCGAACCCTCGCCGAACTCCTTAGCTCTCCGGCGATCGCCGGCCAGATTACCCGCATAACTTTCTTTCTTTCTTTTATTTTTTTCAATCACCTTTTCTTCTATGTTTTTTTTTTGACCCAAAAAATGTTCGCTGTAAACTGAGCTCGGATTAATGGAAATCGAGCTGGCAGAGCAAGAAGCAGAGGAGCTCTCCTATCCCCGAGATCTTCTCCGCCGTCTTTCCGGCACGAGATGCAGCGAAGAGCTGCTTCCTGTGAATGGTAAAGTGGAGGATGCGGAGTGTTTTGATGAGGGGGATACGGAGCTCAGTTTGGGGCTTTCGCTGGGGGGCTGCTTCGCGGTGAAGCCAACGGAGACGCGGCTCTTGCGATCATCCTCGACCGCGGTGATCTCAATGTTCCCGAATGAAGTTGATTTCACCCTTTCTTCGGCGCCTCTGGCGCGGTCGTGCTCTCTGCCGGTTGAGGCGGAAGACGAGCACCTGAAGCGGAAAGAGATGCAGGGATTAAAGAGAATGGAGGTTAAGAGGAAGAGATTGGAGAAGAGGACTAGTACGAGGCTACCGATGGATCAGGTGGGAAGTGGGGATAGAAAGGAGGAGGGTTGGATTGGTGGGACAAACGGTGGTATTTTACTGAGATGGGATATGGGCGCCGCGGGCTGCGGGATGGAGGTGGACATGGCTCAGCTGGAGGCGATGCGGAGGAGGAGCTCGGATTTCAATGAAAGAGGTTTGCAAGGTATGCAATTTGTTGTTACATTTTAGTTTGGTAAGTTCAGTCTTATTGGATTAGAATTTAGAAGAAGACTGTGTTTGTTTATACGCCATTCAAGGCAAGGCCGATAGGGGGATTTAGGGTAAGGTTGTTTAGATTACAGTGAGCGCTTTTGTTTTACTTAGCTGTGTTTATGATCTTCAACTTAGGTGTTTTTTGTTGATTCTTGCTGATGCGGTGCATAACAATGCAGCTAAGTAGTATACGTATTTTATTAGTATGCTTATTATTAGTCCTTTTTCTTATATGTTACTGTGAGTAGTTGCCTTCCCACTATCCTAGTTTGCTTCTTTAGGTAAAAGAGTACAAAACAGCTTTTAGCTTTGCTTAGCCATTTTCAGCGTGAGAGAGAACTCACGATAGTAGCTTATACTTGTTGGAGATGGGAAAAAAACTCTCAGACTGAAATATTACACATTTTGAGCTTGGCTCTACTTCCTCCTTCTTCTGTGTTTCTTCTTGTTTTTGTTATTCTTGACTGCCCTGCTTCTCCCAAAGCATACCACATCACTTGCCTGTTCAACTGTGTAATTCCTTCGTGTTGAATTTGAATTATTTTTTCTACTTTGTTGCTTGGATCTCTATCCTCTTCTTTTCATGTGTTTACAGCTTCTTGGGGCAATGGATATTTGTTCTCTTTTTAAGCATTGAGGCATGCAATGAACTTTGGTTGGTTTAATGCTCACTTGCAATTAAAAGGAAATGCTTGATTTATTTTTTGACATTTCTACCTGTAACGGTATGAAGATTTATTTTATTGAGTTCATGGAGTTGCACAGTATTGGCTATCTTTATAGATATTTAAAATGAGGTATATTAGTGCAGATAATATATTTATGAAAGTGAAATCCTTTTTAATAAATAAAAAGATAAGGTGATTAAGATCAAATTTTAGTGAACTTAAAGTTGTTAATTATTTAAACTATGCTGATTGTATCTCAATCTTTAGGAAAAAATAAATAAATTGGTGAGTGCTATTGAATGTGAATTTCATATATTGTGGTGTTAAGTTGAAAAAAAATATTATTTGAGCTAAAAATATGTAGAGGAAGGTGTATATTTTTATTTGCATTGTTGTGCACAAAACTTTACTAATTTCCTCAAATTTCAAATCATACCTCAGAATTCATTAGATTTGAGGTTGACAGCGCAGTGGAAATTAAGTTGGATTTCTCCATGACAGCTGGGTCGAAGTCTCCAAGATTGAGTTAGGAGTTTTATATTCTAAAAAACTAATTTCCTATGATACTATTTTGTGCCTTCATTGTTGACTACCTTCTCATGGTGTGTTGTGATTAAAAAAAAAAAAAAAAAAAGGTTACTTGATTATTTTTCTTTCATGTTGTAATTGTTCCAAAATATGATCAACATTGCACTAGGTTTCTTGGTCCGGGTCATCTTTGTGTATATTGTTGCACGTAGAAAATGATTATGAATGTGATAGAATTTCGTTAAATGGATCATCCTAAAAAAAAAAAAAAAAAGGTTACTTGATTATTTTTCTTTCATGTTGTAATTGTTCCAAAATATGATCAACATTGCACTAGGTTTCTTGGTCCGGGTCATCTTTGTGTATATTGTTGCACGTAGAAAATGATTATGAATGTGATAGAATTTCGTTAAATGGATCATCCTAGGCTCAATATTATTCCACGCACACAATCAACAAAACTCGAGTTCAAGAAGTCAACTCGGAGATTTTATCCTCTAGAAGATCCTTCGATGCTCATGTCTATGACTATGCTGAAGTTAATTTAATAGAATTTTAACTTTGACACTAATCTTGATGCTTAAGACCTCTATTGATTCATGCATTAGTTCGGGGGACTAATGATCCATCATGGATCTTAAAGATTATGTGGATTCGTTTGCTTCCATCCAATAAACTGAAGCGCATGCCTATGAGTTAGTGCTAATCACCTGACATTTTTATAATAATTTATTTTTTCAACTATCCAAAATAGGAGTAAACTTGAATTCTCAGATGCTGAATTCTCAGATGGCTTGACAATCTCCTCTTCATGTGAGAACACTCCATATTGATTAATATTCCCTCTCAAATGAAAGCTCTTCAACATCATCGAGCATTGTTCATAAAAAATCAACTCAACCATGTGGAGGCCTCATATAAGTCTTCAATAGAAGCTGAACCATGAGAGCCACAAGCTACATTAACCACAAACTTAGATATCGCTTATTACGGAGGATGAAACAAAGGGACCTAAGTTAAGTTAGAATCATAAGTGGTCATGCCCATTTTCAACCTAAAAACTTAAGCCTATAGGTGAGAGTCAACCACTTAGTATTTCTAAACCACTATGTATTTTCAATTATCCACTATGGAATTGAACCAAAGTTGTGTGTTCCTTAATGTGGGTCACAGGCAACCCAACAGGCGCTCGAGCGTTCACCTCATTACCACCCATTGAGATAGTAACTAAGAGGCAATAACTCGAGGCAACAAGATTGCCCCTAGAAGGTGGTTATTTACCCCTATTTAGAGGCATCTTAATTTGCCTCTTAGGTGGTAGTTCAATTGTGACGGTCACTTGAGAGATGATAATTGGCCATTTTAGTTTTATTTTTTTTAATGAGAAGGGGCAAGCGGTTGTAAACGCCCCTCTAATCTTGCATTTTTTTGGATTTTGGTTTAAAAATAATATTGTCACCTTCTTTGTTTAACTTGATTTTTTTTTTGTGTTGATAGTATTGGTAAGAAAAATCAAAGCCATTTCCCTTGTCGCTTGGGGGATTTGATATGCCAAAAGGAAAAAAAAAACCTCTTGAGGATACCTTTATGTCATCATCTTTCTTGCTCGTTTTGCACTCAAGAACTATGATGTGGATTGTAGGTGTTATGTGTGGAATTTGATTGTGTTGATTAATCGGGTTGATCTGTTGCCTCGGACCTCAAGTTTGTTGGGAGGTGCAAGTGGCTTACCCCCATTTGAAATTTTTTTTCATACAACGCCCTGACGCTGTGTACCCGAGCGTCGCGGCGCTATGTTCTCGAGTGACCCAGTGCTGATCTACAGAGAGTGGTGCGCTGCAACGGATCAAGACTGAGGTTTGAGCGTCGCAGCGCTACGAGAGGGACATGATGGTTTTCTTTCTCGTTTTTCTAAATGGTTGCATCCCTCGAAATGGAGGGGGGGGGGGCAAGGTGGCCGGCGGCTTAGGGCTGCTTGGAGCAGGCGGCGGCAAGGGCAATGGGGAAAAAGAGATGGAATTTTCTGGGGATTTGACGACTACGAATTTATTAACCTCAAATGTCTTCTCGTTGAATTTCCACAAGATTAGCTAGCACGAAAACTAAAACTCACAAAGATCTAGTCTTCTCCGGCGAACTCACTAAGAGATCTTGGAGGAAGGAACTCACAAAGAGAACAAGTAGTAAATTTCATTTCCTCAAAAACTAACTATTACATAAGAAAAGTGCCATATAAATAGGCCTCAAAATGATAAAGAAAGCAAAAGACTAAAATGCCCCTTGGGCTACAATAGCGACTAAATACCCATAAGGGAAAAAACGGAAACACATAAAAATCAAATAAACTACTATATAAATGACTCAAAATAAAACTCATGATCGTGGCCGTCGATCTCCGACGTCTCCTGATGGTACATGTGTCGAAATCTCTAACGATGTCCTCATCACAAGGTCTTCTAAACTCGCCTTCCTTGCTTGTTGGGCACTCATAATGTGTGGTACAATCAAAAGCAAAATTTATTTATGTTTCCTAAGCCTTCACAGTTTTGACTTTCTTTCTTATTTGGACACTGAAAAGTACGATACATCTTGTAGGAAAAGTTGAAGTTTTATGCTATTGCTATGTTCATTAGACGCTTGGAAAGTGTGGTGCACTCGATGGAAAACTTCTTAATGATGCCTTTCTGACAGCATCTTTCTTATTCCTCTGCTCATCCGAGAAGTATAGTGCATCTTCTAGGCATTCTTGAAATCTTAATCCTTAACCTTTTTTGCTCTTTAGGCACCTAGGAAGTAGTGTAATTTGAAGGCAAAATTTTGGAGGTTCAACTGTACAGTATCATTTTTCACTGTTGCTGTAACAATAGTAAACTTGATGACCCTGATTAAAGCCTTGAACCCCTCCAAATGCAATTCATTTAGTGGCAAGATGATAATGGTGATATCCAGCACCTTGATCTTGATTGAGAACCCCTCGACATGTTATGCATTTGACGGTGCGACGACAATGGTGAAATTGAGCGATTGATTTGAGCTTACACCCTCTTTTAGTGTTGTTTGCTTGGTGCTGTGGCAACAATTTTGACCGCACACAAGTTCCTAGTTGATTACATTGGAAGGTTCGACAAAAGCACCCACATAAATGCATGAGGTTTTTTTGCACTTTAAAAAGCTTTTCATGTGACTTGTTGATGTTTAGTTTTATGAATGTTTTTGTTTTGGATGTTAAGTGATCTATTTAGTAGGAAGAGAGGAACATAACAATAATTATCAAAAGCCATTTCATATCATGAGGTAAGAGCCCTTATATATATATATATATTTTAGAGCCAAGTTAGCGCTACATTGATTCTTTGAATATGATGTAGTGGGGCTTTATTTTTTATTTTTTTCGGTGTTTGCTTAGGCCTTAAGGTAGATTTGCTTTATAGAAATGTCATTTTAGTCAAAATGTTTTAACTGCATATTGATGCGACATTCAAGAATCTCCTTTGGGCCCGAGTCTTAAAGATATCTTATAATTGATGAATAAGAGAGTTCTTATTCTTAGGGTTTTATTTTTTTTTGGTGTAATGTCTCAACGATCGAAACTTCGATCTTCAGTCGATCATAAATTAAGGAGTCCATTTGAGGTCATGGCTTTAGTTTATGCTATTGCAACCATAACCTTGCTTAGAATTGGTGAGGATCTCTGTTGGGATAATTGATGTTATGTGAAAGTGAAACTCCTTTGTCTTCTTTATTCTTCTCGCTT